GGGTTGTGGCTGCAAGAAACGTCCCAGCCTCAAGCACGGGGAAAACCCACAGCCGTACGGCACCCTGGTTGCGTGAGAGCCAGCACCCCGGCTTGCATAAGGAGCTTGTCCTTAAAAACCAGCTTGTAAATCTTTCAAAGCAGTGGTAATCAGTCCAGCAGCCAGAGGCAACACCCCTTCGCCCTTTATTGGCATTGTTCAAGCATGTTCTGCCGTTAGCAATGGCCGGGCCGAGCGGGTTTGTGCTGGGCTGGCCCTGCTGCATCACACGCCGGGGACTCGGGGCTGAAGCTCTGATGAGCACGGCTGGAAAATCAGCCGGTTTCCCTGGTCTGCCACTGAAAAGGCACTGAAGCACTTGGATCTGAGTGCCAGCGAGGCCAAGTCCCACTGCTGGGATTTCGAGTCTCTTCGAAAATGGAAACTGGGTAAAATAAATTGTTGTCACTGCCATTAGTGGCCAGAAGTGCCCTGGTGCGCGTGGATGCCAGTGAACAGCCGTCCTGCCCCTGCAAGGCAGGGACTCTAACCCGGCAGATCCATAGCGTGTCCACAGTGGGCATGGTTTGATTGTTTTAAGACAAAATCCGCAGCTGGAAGCGCGTAAATCCCCGTGGGGTCTGGTTGAACACAGTGCGGGGAGGGAGGAGAAGGTGAGTGGGATTACAGGGAGGATTCCTCTGCCAGGCTTTGTCCTCTGGGGTTCGTTGGAGAAGTGGGATTTCGGAAATGCCAGAAACGGGAGGCACAGGAGGCTTGGAGCGGTTGGGTATCTCTCCTCCAGGAGAAAAGGGGGGTGCAGGGGGTAACCCACCCCACCCTGGGCATGGTGGCGGGTTCCTGTGGCCGAAAATACAAGCCCAAGCCAGGCACAGTGGCATGGGTGGCCCGTGGGAATAATTTTTCATTCTGGATGAGCCCCCCGATGCTGCCTGCAGTGGGGTGCCAGCGGTGCTGGACCCTGGGTCCCAGAGGCGGCAGCAACAGGACAAGGGGCAACGGGCACAAACTGAAGCACAGGAAGTTCTGTCTGAACATGAGGAAGAACTTCTTCACTCTGAGGGTGACGGAACCCTGGAACAGGGGTTGGACCAGATGATCCCCAGAGGTCCCTTCCAACCCCTACCATTCTGTGATTCTGTCTGCATCCCACCTCCAGCCCCAGCATCCTGCTAGGGGCCAGAAGACCCCTCCGGCCTGGCCAGCACATGTTAAGGATGCACCAGCGTAACAGTGCAGGATTCAAGGGGTGTTCTCCAATATCAAGCAGGGTGCTTAGGGGTTACCTCGACCAGGATCTTCCCCATGTGCAAGGCCAGCAACAGCCTGGTGAGCTGTGACCGCCCATATGCCTTCCCTTTTCCAAGCCGCTTGGGAGTGTTCCCCCTATTTTGACCGTCTAAAAATTAGGGAGCTAGCTTGTACGAAGGGGTCGGGACCCCCACGTAGAGGGGAGCGGGCGTTTGCCTGCCAGCAGCGGCACCCGCCGGAGGAGGCTGAGCAGCCCTGGTCAGCTGCAGGAGCTGCCCAGGTGACCGGCTGAGATTAAAACCCAAATTTTCAGCTGGCGAAAGTTGGGTAAAGCGCCTGTCCCCTGCCTCCCCGGCCACTGCGCTGCCTTCAAAATGGCTGCCTGGTTTTTACGGCCGGAGGCTCCGCAGTCAGCCCATGGTGCTGTGCTGACCCCGGGGGCTCGGGGCTGGTGCTGATACCCCCCTTCCGCCCCCAACCAGCCTCAGAGCCCGGCGCGCGGGTGAGCCGCTTCTGACGGTTAAGAACTTGGACGCGAATAAAAGCAGATGGTGCCTTATCTGCGTGCGCCCAGGTTGCCTGCGTGCAGGCAGCCAGCGGCGGCGGTTTATTCCTGGCTAGGAAAGATGAGAGCTCCTTTGGCCGGTCGAGGTGGTCTACGTTGGCCACGAGAGCTCGCCGCCCGTGCGCTCCGTGTTGGCTGGAAAGCGATGTATTCACGAGGTCTTAAGCGAAAAAACCCAACAAACCCAGAGGAGGTGAGAGGATGGTTATTCCTCTCTGCGACTGGGAGCTCTGTGCTCTCAATAAAATGGAGTGGTTTGCAGGTGCTGTGAGCCTGTCCTGCTCCCCAGATGAAGCCGGGCACGTGAAAGAGTGGCACAAGGGGATGCCCCTGAGTGGCCCTTCCAGCAGTGGGGAAGCATCAGGGGGCCAAGTGCCTCCTCCCGGGACAGGGGCACGCCACACCCCCACGTAGTGCGGGGAGCGGGCATCAGGTAGCTCTGTTTCTATTTCTAATTTCTATTCTTCTTATTTCTACTATTTCTGTTCTATTTCTATATGTTTATCTTTACAATTATTTGTGTTTATGTATCTATACCTATCTATATATACACTTCTGCCTGTCCCTGGCCAGTGGTTTTTGTGCATGGAGGTGACAAGAAGGTGCTGCCTGTGCATTTTAACGCCCCGCTGAAGCGCCGGGGGAGTTTTGGGGGTGCCGGGGTTCACCTCCGAGCGCCGCACGCCATGTTGGCGGGCACCAGGCAGCTCTGCCCGCGTGTTTTGAAGAAATAAGGGGGAAAAACATTGAAATCCTACAGGCAAAATGGTGATAGCGGCCACGTTTAATCTCCTGGGACCAGATGACGACTTGCCCGGCACGGCAAGGGTGGGTGTTCGTCACCTTGTGCATCCCTGCTCCATCCCCTCCCAAAGACTTTGTGTCCGTCCCCTCCGAAAAGGGGACAGCCGGTTATTTGTGACCCTCGCCAGCACACAGGAGGGCTGGGCTGGGGTCCCCAAAGCTCCTGGTGGGGAGCAGAGGGGGGGGGCAGGGGCACTGGGCTGCGGGGTACTGCTGCTGGGCTTGTTTTGAGGCCCATGCTCCTTCTTTTCTCCTTGGTGTCCCCCCCCCAATGTCCCCTCCAGTGTCCCTCCTTGTCACCCTAATGTCCTTGCCAGTGTCCCTCCTTGTCCCTGATGTTTCTCCCTGTGTTTCTCCTTGTGTGTCCCTCCCTGACCCCCAGCGTCCCCCCCTGAATGTCTCTCCACGTGTCTTGATGTTATTTCCAGCGTCCCTGCCATGTCCCTCCCTGTCTTCCCACTGTCCCCAAGCGCTCTCCAGTGTCCCCCAGTGTCCCCACCCAGTGTCCCCTCCAAGTGCTCCCCCTCGTCCCGCAGTGACCCCCCCAGTGTGCCCCTCCCGGTGTCCCTCCCCGTCCCAGCCCGGATCGGGGCGCGGCGGGGGGA